AAATTTAATTGGTGTTCTGAGAGAGATCAATTTTGCACATCTACCCTGTCAACTATGTATCTTAGTAGCTTTTCTGTCTGTCAAATGTAATCGTCTCTGTAGGTTGGCTACGGGGATTTATTGCGGATTATGGAGTCCCATTGATGGTTCTTGTTTGGACTGCTGTATCTTACATACCAGTTAATGATGTCCCAAGAGGAATCCCAAGACGACTTTTCAGTCCAAACCCATGGTCTCCTGGTGCATACTCAAATTGGACAGTTGTCAAGGTGGATATTGTAGTGATTGTTTGCCTAATATTTTGTTTCCATTAGAGTCTAAATTGGTCTTAAAGAGCCAAATTTGTGCTTTCTTGCCTTTAAATCGCAGCTAGGAACTCATGCTGTTTAAGTTGTGCAGGAGATGATGAATGTACCTCCATTATATATAGTTGGAGCATTTATACCAGCAACTATGATTGCTGTGCTCTACTACTTTGATCATAGTGTTGCATCTCAACTTGCCCAACAGAAGGAATTTAATCTAAATAAACCAGCTTCATATCACTATGACCTTCTCCTTCTGGGTTTTCTGGTAAGCTGCTTTCAGACCAGCTCAAATTGAGGTAGATATTTTATGTACTTATATATTGTGAAATTTTTGGTTGAATTCTGAATTTATTCACTTCCAGGTCATATTATGTGGGCTTCTTGGCATTCCCCCTTCCAATGGAGTAATTCCACAATCTCCAATGCATACAAAAAGCTTAGCTACTCTAAAACATCAGGTATAGTTTGCTGGTAGTGGAACATTCTGATAAGTATATGTGCTTGCATGAATTGTCTTTGGTGTGCATTTGACGTCAAAATATGGATATTATGACTCTAATTACTTGCTTCTCTCTTGTTCTGGATCCCTGGCACACAGACAGGATATTTTTCATATTTGATTTAATAAACACACTTCCATTAAATAAATAAATAAATAAAAGTGCATAACAGAGGGCAAGGTGTCCACTGACAAACAAAATCTGCTGCTCAACACCAAAGAATAATTTACATTCACCAAAGAACATCAAGAAACTAGCATGAATACACTCTAGAATACAGATGCTGCCCAATCAGAGAAAAATAACATAAAGGAAAAGTTCCTAAACTCTACACCATTAGAGGATACACATCAAACTAGGTCCAATAGAGGCTGATTCCATTGAAACTTATAATTCAAGTGATATAATCATTGAACAATCTGAAGGCCTTGTTTTTGTTCTTCACTGTGTAATTATAGATAGAACAATCAGGATATTATGACCTTGGTACTTGTTTTGACGTGGTTTAATTAAAAACTTATTCATCTAGACCGTGTTCTTGCTATTGTTTATTCTCGCTGACAGGACATCTCTCAGTCATTTCTCTGTTTCCATTTAGTGTGTTTCTGCAATGGTCAATACTTCAATTATTGTGACTTTGATATCTAAATTAATAGAATGGATCTGTTCTTTTCTTTGGAATAGCTTTTGCGGAATAAGCTTGCATTAACAGCGCGAAATAGTATACGCAAAAATTCAAGTTTGAGTCAATTATACCAGAGCATGCAAGAAGCATACAATCAAATGCAGACTCCACTGGTCTACCAACGTCCACCTGCTTTGGTAAATCTAATTAGACATTATTGCTGAACGATACAGAAGTTTACATCTTTTACTCTTTTCTTGCTAAAATTTGTGCTTCAAACAGGGACTAAAAGAGCTGAAAGAATCCACAGTCCAATTGGCCTCAAGTGCTGGCTACATTGATGCCCCCGTTGATGAGACTGTTTTTGATGTGGATAAGGATATTGATGATCTTTTGCCCATTGAAGTGAAAGAGCAACGCCTCAGCAATCTGCTTCAATCATTGATGGCCGGTGGTTGTGTAGCTGCTATGCCTGTTTTGAAGAAAATCCCAACCTCTGTTCTTTGGGGATATTTTGCTTTCATGGCGATTGAAAGCTTGCCTGGAAATCAATTTTGGGAGAGGATATTGTTTCTTTTCACTGCTCCAAGTCGAAGATACAAGTAAGTTGATGCTTTCCCTTGTAATTTGCAAAGGATTCTATGACCAAATACTCTTCTTCATATAGTAAGTTAACTGTTATACCTAGACTCGCATGATCCACTTCCTGTACTTTCAAGTGTCAAATATGGAGTTGTGATACACATTACCATTTTCTTAATCTAGATCATGACTAGTATTATCTTTGAAAATTTGTTAAATGGTAACCATCATCTAAATTGCTAGGGTGCTGGAGGAGTATCATGGAACCTTTCTTGAGACTGTGCCTTTCAAAACAATTGCCACCTTCACCTTGTTCCAGACGGCTTACTTGCTCATGTGTTTTGGCTTAACATGGATCCCAATTGCTGGGGTGCTTTTCCCGTTGTTGATCATGCTTCTGGTCCCAGTGCGGCAGTATTTGCTCCCTAAGTTTTTCAAAAGAGCTCACCTTCAAGACCTGGATGCTGCAGAATATGAGGAAGCCCCTACCATTGCTTTCAACATGTCCTTTGAAGTAAGTTGCCTAGATCCTTTCTTCAGTTCAGTTAGACCTGTTAATCTGTCTCTGTCTCTCTCTCTTTCCCATTGAGTTGTTCAGGGGTCATATTTGATAACATTATGAACATCCTGAATTCTATATCATGATAATATGCCAGAGCTGGACCTGCTGCCCACCAGAGCTGTACTTGCACCCTTGATAAAATTTGAATGTAGAAAATGTTTACAAACTTTTAATTGATCTACCTGTATGCTGATTCAAAAAAAGCATTTATAGGTGCAATAATGATGCATGCATATGTGCAAAAGTTTGGATCAGATGGGTATAAATGCAATTTCGGTTTGATATTAATAAAACATATGGTATTCAGATGCTATCCTAAGCTGCATTTTCTAAGAAATTAGAGTTCTCACTGAAAGCCTTTATTAGGTTATCATTTAAAAGTTCTGTACTGATGCTGATGCTTTCTATGCATGACAGGATCAGGATCTTCAGTCAAGAATCACAAACATTGATGGTGGGGAGATTCTTGATGAAATTATCACAAGAAGCCGTGGTGAGATCCGCCATACACAGAGCCCAAAATCATTAAGTTTGACCCCTACTTCACTAGAAGGTATAAAACCCGCTTATAGCCCGCGGACTTCACAGAGAGTATACAGCCCCCATTTAAGTGAACTGAGAGGAGAAAGAAGCCCCCAACAGGGACTTGAAAGAACGCAGACTCCCAGCCCTGGGTCATCTATCCTTGGACAGACCACTCCTGGCTCTTCAAGCTAAAATTCCTAAAAGTGTGATTCTGGTGAGATTATTTTTGGCAATGGTGCTCGAGAGGTTATGTATTAAGTGTCATCTTTGTAGGTCTGTTTCTAAACTTTGTTTCTACCATATATATGGTGGGCAGAGAAGATGATTACGATAATGGAAATATGTATGATTTTTCGTATTTTAACCAAACGTTAATTATGCAGCCTAAGAAAATCCCATAGCCAATCTAGATCCTTAACAATCAATATTTGTCTGCCTTTTTCTTCCTTCAATGTTTCCCAAAGTTTTTAGCAACTGTGTTCTCCAACTCATGGACTTCTGGAAAGTAGTGTTCTGATGTTCTGGAATGTGATGATGATATGATATACGAGATGCTTAAGGTGTGGAATAAGTTATCCTTTTTATGTTTTTCGAGAATAAAAATATATTCACGCTTGCACCTGCAATGATCTGCAGATTGTTCTTTATAAGACTATAGTTCTTAATGCTGGCTGATCGTACTTTGAACTTTGAATATGCTCAGAATCCTCTTTTGTGCTTATCATGCAAGCCACTATGATTTTGCAACTCATGTCTGCCACTCAAAGATTTCATTGATATGGATAATAGTCCAATGATGCGTTAACTGGTGGATTTAATGCATGCTTAGTCTCCACTACATGATATCATCTACTTTTGGCGCCAGCCTGTGTTTTAGACCCAAGTGGTCTTTTTGTTTTGCCTTCCACTTAATTTTATGGGTACTGATAGAGATTGTGAACCCACTTATTAAGGGACCCAGAAGCACTCTACCAAACTAAAATTTCCCATGAAGCTTTTGTTGAAGGCTCACTTTTCAGCTGCTAAAGCTAGTAACTTTGTGGAAGGACTTGATTGTGTATGTTGATGTCATAACTGAATGTTAATAATCTTTTATCACAAAACCAAGTGTTTTTTTTTTAATAGTCAAACCGCAGGGAATAGATTGTCTTCATAACTTACACCACTAGGGCAATACAAATACAATAGTCATAAAGGCTAATGCAACAACTCAAAAAGGGTTTACAATTACTACCCACAAAGGGGTTACAATTACCACCCATAAAAGCCCACAACCAAAACAAACAGATCTATCAGCTACATCAAACTCATACAGTATACCTCCACTCAAAGCCACACATGACTTAAAACGGTCGGACACAAACACATGTCCAGAAAACCAAGTTTAGGTCAATAAATAAATATTGGGTCCCATAAATATTTTCAAAATTCGGGTTTAGTTAATGAGCAATACCGCTAGATAATAATATAAAAAAACCCATTCCCTAAATGGGCTTTTTTCCATTTTTAGTCCAAACAAATGCACATTGCCTTCGTTTTGGTGCAAATGCATATTACGAATTTTCAACTCAAGTCTTTAAGTCAATATTCCACTTTCTAAATAGTCAAACAATAATTCCAAAACAGCTATAATTCCCAAATACTAATTCAAACATTCCTCACAATTACATTGAATTCCAATGTTCATTTCATCAATTCTAGCATATCCTTTGTTTTTAGATGCAAAATATCTAGAAGACATGGAAAGAAAGGTCAGCTTGCCTGCCTTGAGCAATAATCCCTTGAAATGCACATTGCCTTCATTTTGGTGCAAATGCATATTTGGCGACAATTGCATTTTACGGTTTTACCCCCAAAAAATCGTTTTTCTCTACCATGTTCGGAAACGACTTGTCGTTTAAAAGAGACAACAGTCTCTCACTCTCACCTGTCACCTGAACATGAACGAGTAAAAGGCACAACAGTAAAAGCGTAGGACCAGAGAAGAAGAAGAAGAAGAAGAAGTGAGAAAGAAGCATTGCTCATGAGGCCTGAGATTGTGCTGTTCGGAGACTCAATTACAGAGCAATCCTTCAGATCGGGTGGCTGGGGTGCCGCTCTAGCTGATACTTACTCTCGCAAGGTCTCTCTCTCTCTCTCTACTGTTAATGTTAATATAGTAAATGTTGGTAACTTTTGGGATGGTGGTGTTGATAGGCTGATGTAAAAGTTCGTGGGTATGGTGGGTACAACACCCGATGGGCATTGTTCTTGATGCAGCACCTCTTCCCTCTGGTATATTCTTTTCTTCATTGTCTACCAATTATGCTGCATCTTCTTCATTTTTGTAAAAGCTTTGTTGTTATGGTTGGCATTGGCAATCCATTGATTGGGTTTTATCCTTTTTTTTTTAGTTAATTCAATTGGGTTTTTGTTTTACTCCTCGTTCCTATTGGTTACATGTCTCATTAAGCATTTGATATTACAAAGTCGAAGTCTTTGTTTAAAAAAAATTTCTTTTATGGTTGTTTATCTACTTAGAATAAATATTTTTTCAGGATTTAGTGTTTTACTGATCAACTGGTGGTAAATGGTGCTAAGATAGAGGGAAAGAGAGATACTCTGTGTCATTATTGCATACTAGAGCAGAAAATTGTCATGCTTTTTGGAGTAACTTCCACAATCAGTATCTGATAAATTAAGTTATCATGTTGAGATGGTAGATTAGATTTTTAATCAGTAAAAGCCTGTGAAGAAAAAAAAAATGTTAGTCTTGGAAGCATATGGGAAAATAGTAGAATTTGATTGAAACAGAAACGTTTATGAAATTGACCATGCCACTATGATGAATATGCAGGATTCTAAAAAGCCTCCTGCTGCTGCCACAATTTTCTTTGGGGCCAATGATGCTGCTATTTTGGGGAGAACAAGTGAACGACAACATGTTCCTGTTGAAGAGTACAAGGAGAATCTCAGAAAAATTGTTCTTCATATGAAGGTTTCCTTTCGCTCATTTATCATCTTTGCCTCTAAGTTCTGTTCTCTGAGAAACCATAATGGCCACCATCTCGTCCTAAATTCTCCATCATTATCATAATCTCATGTATACTGTTGAGTTTTTAGACCATGTTTAAGGCTACCCAATTCCTTGTGCCTTGTTTTCTGGCTGATGAATGGCTAATATTTATCTGGTATAACATTCTCATCACACTTGAACTTGCTTGCTCATTGTATATGGGCACTTATTACTTACCATGAGTTTAGGGTCTGTAATTTCCAGATGTGCTTATACATTCTGCACATGTTTTTCTAAGTGCAACTATTTTTGCAGTCAATTATTTGACCCATCTCATTGCATATGGTGATTTTGATTACAGGAGTGTTCTCCCACCATTTTGATTGTGCTTATTACTCCACCACCTGTTGATGAGGATGGGCGTAATGAATATGCCCGGTATGATTTATTATTCCTCTCATTTCAAAATTGACTACATATACATAACTGTTTTGTTGTTGCTTTTCATCATGTTTATGTCATTGGCACCTTTACCTTCTTTCATGGTGTCAATTGCACTTTGTTGTCACCTCCATTATCTCCACAGATCTTTATATGGTGAGGATGCTAGGGAAGAGCCGGAGAGGATGAATGAAGTGACAGGTGTGTATGCAAAGAAGTGCATTGAGCTAGCTGAGGAAATGGGTCTCCGCTCCATCAATCTTTGGTCCAAGTTGCAGGAAACGGAGGGTTGGCAGAAGAAATTTCTGAGGTTTGCCATCTTTGAAGCTTCAACCTGTATAGTTTATTGAATAACTGAACATTTATTGGCTGCAACCAGATTTTCTCTTGCAAAGAAGCACTATTTGTCTAATTAGTACCTTAGATACTGCCTTAAAAGTCAGATCAAGATCATCTGCTTTCCTTGGTTTTCTTCTTTGGAAAAAAAAAAAATAGAAGAAGAGGAAAAGCAGATGGGTAGGACTTTGAGGTGTGAAGGCATATGAACCTCTAATCAATTTTGTGATTGTTAGAATTGGGATCTAAATTACACGAAGATCATATGTACTGTAATATAGTCCTAGAAATATTATTTTCATCCTCTAAGCTTTTGACAGTGTGAGATTGAATAATCTGTCTTAATTTATTTGCTTTCCGTTGCAGTGACGGGTTGCATCTAACACCAGAAGGCAATGCTGTAGTCCACCAAGAAGTTGTAAGAGTTTTCGGGGAAGCATGGTTTTCTGCTGAAGAAATGCCTCATGATTTCCCTCACCACTCAGACATTGATGGGAAGAACCCTGAGAAAGCTTTCCAGCAACGATGCACATAATATAATTTCGTGGTCTGCTTGAAGTTTTCCAAATTTTCAGAGTCAAATGCTACATTAATATTTACCCCAGAAACACATTGTTTCTGTTGGCGATTGCACTATGTACAGCATTCTATATGAGATGAATAATATTTTATCTCTTTTGCATTGAAATCAATTGAGATTGAATTGTGGGTTCTAAACTTGATGCAAACTAAACTCATTCATGTCTCTTTTATACCTTTGATTAAGGGTGATATTTCCTAAGTTTCTTTTCTCAAAATTTAATCTATAACAGCTGCTACAAGAACGCAATAAAATGCTTGGCGTTATGTAAACATTTGCTATTAACAGTGGCGATTAAGTCTAATAACTTTGACATGCTTTTATTGTGTTTCATTACTTACGACAAAGTTTTACCAGTAAATATTCTTCTTAACGACTTTCCTAAATTAACTTCATTAACAAGAGTAAAAACTATTTATTCTAAAGTTTGTCCATGATTTGACTTTCTTTGACCATATACAAAAGATGGAAAAACAAAGTAATTAGCATAACATAACGCCATTACAGTACTTAAGGACTTCATTCAATGGTTTTAATGCAGTTGGAATAATATCCAACAAAAATTCGAGACCAACAAATAAAAGCCTTAGGGTAAAAAAAAAACTAGGCTAAGCAACCATGACCATTAGATGATGGAGAATCAACGGTCATGATCTATCTGTAAAATAAATGCTTTTCCTCCCTCACCTATTAAGCAAAGAAGAGTACAATGGAGGACAGCTCCCAAAACAGTAGCTGCCCATTTCCCTGGTACTAAATTTCAACTGCTGAAAAATCTGTAATGGAGCTTAACAAGCTCAGGGAAAACCTTGCCTCCCAAGTTCCACTACTTGTCCCTGACAACTACTTGATGAAACTCTACAACATGAAAGATGAGTTTCCCTTTGAAGCTTCTTCGTCATCAAAGGGTAATTACAATTACCTTCAAGATTTTCACCATCTTGATCACCAGTTTCAAGTTAATGGGTCTTCATCAAATCCCATGTTTGGGGTCCAAAACCCATGTTTTGATCCTTACAATGACACAACTTACACATATGAAGCTTCAACTACAGATGTTAAATTTTATGAGTGTAAGCCTCTTAATGAAGAAACAAATATGGGACATGGTCAAGTCTTGGACAACTTTCAAAGTGGTTCAGGGTACTTGAATTTCCCAACTCACACATCAAATCCACTTGATCATTTGATGGGCTCATCTCATAGGAGTGCAACTAATTTCCTGCCCTTGGATTACCAAGATATTAAACCCATGAATTTTGTGGTGCCAGATGAAGTCTCATGCATTAACAATGCAGATCAAAATGGGTATTACAAAAAATTTGGCATGAATGGTAAGAGTAGAGTGTCCACATTAACAAGAGGGTCCACTTACAAAGGTCGGAAGAAGTCAAATGTGGTCAAGGGCCAGTGGACAATTGAAGAAGATAGGTACAAAGATCAAAATTTTAGTTGCAGTATATCAATATGGCTGCATTTTGGCTAATTTTAGATCTCTGATATTAATTTACTCTTGCTCTTGTATGTGGTTGTCAAAACAGGCTCTTAATTCAACTGGTTGAACAATATGGAGTGAGAAAATGGTCTCATATTGCTCAAATGTTGCCTGGAAGGATTGGCAAGCAGTGTAGAGAGAGATGGCATAACCACCTAAGGCCTGACATCAAGGTATTCGATTAAAGTCGTCTATGTACTCTAAAAAGTAAAAACTCTATCTTAATTCCTTTGAAACTAACCGATTAAGATTGATCATCATAAAAACTCGACATGCACCTAAATAATAACATGAAAATTGATTTTGGGTTTCCAATATATTGATGACTAATGCTACATGAATCACATTCTTGCATCCGTTTGTAACTCATTAGTATAGTTGTGTCTCGTGTCGTGTTTCTGAGTGATGTGGTGCACAAAGTAATATAATAACAATGCGGGGCAAATGGTTTTATTGTATTTTCTTTCTTCATAAGTTAAATTTTTGCAGAAGGATACATGGAGTGAGGAGGAGGACAAGATACTGATTCAAGCTCATGCAGAAATAGGAAACAAGTGGGCAGAAATTGCCAAGAGATTGCCTGGGAGGACAGAAAACTCCATCAAGAACCACTGGAATGCAACCAAAAGAAGGCAGTATTCGAAGCGAAAATGTCGATCAAAGTACCCCAGAGGCTCTCTTCTGCAAGAATACATCAAGAGCTTGAACTTAGACTCAACAGGCAGCAGCACAGGGCGCCAGAGAAAGAACAAGTCAGGCAACAACATGGCCGCCAGCAGCACCAAATCACATACTCAACAGACACAAAACAACGTGGGATTTTCATGCGCAAATGATCGGTTGGTTCCAAACTATGATTTCAACGAGGACCCTGATTTCTGTTTCGACGATAACATGTTTCAAGAAGGGTGCAGCATTGATTCTCTCCTTGATGACATCCCTTGTGCTCCTGTTATTGGTGAGAACAATGGTGATTTTGATGGTAAAATAATGGCCCAAGCTTCTGTTGTTGCTGATGAGGAGAAAGATTTTGAGATGGAGATGCAGGTGGATGTGGATGTGGGTCCAGTGATGGAGAGTAGTGAAGTAAAGAAGGAGCTGGATTTGGTGGAGATGATATCTCAAGTGAACTAAATAAGCTGGTGATTCTATAATATTAATATAACATAATATTTTGGAACATAAAAATATATATATACGCATGGATAAATACAGATGTTCTTGGAAGAAAATTTAGAAGAAAGAAAGAAAGAAGGGATGTAATTGGATTTGAAGTTATTTTTGGTTGATCTACGAAATACAGAGCTTAATAAATGGGTTAATTAAGCATGAAGTTGAAGAACTGTACCTTTTTTCTTTCTCATATTATGAATGAGAAGGATATGTGAGTTTAAAATAATATATATATATATATATATATATATATATATACGTACTCATTTTGTACTGATAGCTTTTCTATGTGTAAAGGGTTTTTGAGTCTATCATGTGTTATTTCTTGCTGATATGTAATAATGGTTTTAATTAACTAATATTAAGTAGGGTTTTAGTTTACTTAATTTAAGTTATTTTTTAAGTATGCTCGTGAAGTGCAAACATAAGTATGATACATTAATTTAGTGATATAATGTGGAAGCCTATATTATGTGTGAAAAGTTTTTATATAATGGTAATAGTGATCCCATGGTATAAGGTCAGGGACTTTTAATAAATGAAAATTGCATTATGTTTTTTAATTATGGAGATGAAACATGTAGAGGTAAAGAGAAAGTAAATTCACAAGCAAAGCGGATGTGTTCCTCATTATGCACCCAAAGTCGAATCTCCCTTCTCATAATTTAGATTAGATTAAAATAGATATAGCTTGTATATAAAAATAAAAAAAAATAAAAAAAGGGAAATTCACAAAACTAAAAACCTACTTAAAATTGCTTCACATTTGTTTGTTTGTTCTTTTTTCTTTTTTGGGTTTTACTAAATTACCCATTGTCTGTAGGCTTACCATTGGCTAAAACGTTATGCAAATGGGGCCGGTAAGGGAAATTGAATGTTAGCGTAGCCCATTAGATTAGTAATAGTAACAAGCTGTAAGTTATGGTGAAGCGCTTTGCAGGCTAATTACTAATTATTAATTGTTAGAGCATCCACATCCACAGTGGGGGGTGTATATGGGGGTGTATGTTAAATATACACCCCGAGTCACCGGAATGGTCTCCAATGGTGAGATGTAAATAGATGTAAATATACATCACCACCATGGGGATGTAAAATAAAATGTATATTTACATCCATTTTTACATCTCTTGCAGGCGGGACCCACCCGAGAAAAGAGAAGAAAAATGAAGAAAAGTCAACATAAAAGGCTGGGACCCACGGCTACACCCCCGAATTTACACCCCCTCACTGGAGCAAAAAATATATTTACACCCCCCGGAGGTGTAAAGGGGATGTAAAAGTGGCTTTACACCCCCGAATTTACACCCCACCACTGTGGATGCTCTTATATGTAACAAAACTAATGATAACAATTATAAAGATGTTTTAACATTACAAAAATAATGATTTGTTAACAAATCTTTCAACCTTGGCGAACTAACTCAAGATAATTAAGCTAAGAGCAGCACTAATTAAAAAGAAAAGATAATTAATAATTAGCCAATTACAATAAATCTCAGTCCACTACAGTTAGAGCTTGATAACGTTCATCAGAGATGGCTAATTCCATGAGATGGTCGGGTCGGGGCCAATTTCGCCTTCATTGTCGAGGAAGAGCTTGAGCAGATTGTTAGAGAAGCCACTGAGAATGGACACCCCCGGTTGTGTACAAGGCGCCACCGGCTTCTCCGGGTTGTACTTTGACAAAGTCCAAAACACCATGTGTGGCACAACATCCCCGTACTCTTTCTCCTTATACTTGCTCTGTATTGCCTGGTAATCAATCTCCCAAGAAGTTTGGGCCACATTGGCACTATCAAAGTCCGGGTGACTCAACACCAACACCTTCTTGATCATCTGATCCGGCTTCAAGTTCTCATTCACGGCCGCTTGGAGAATCAAATCAAACAGCTTCTCAAAATCAAGGTCGACACCGCAGCTCATCCTCCTCACAAACTCGTACTTGTACCTAAGATTGTCACCGCCTTGTATGAAATGTAGCTGAGCCTCACGACTGAATTGGATCACCTTTCCTTTCCATGGCTCTCCACTCAGTTCAGACAGCAAGAGCCCCAAAGCAATGGAGACCTCATTGTCCATGAATCTGAGGTTGACATCACATACAGCCAACCAGTTTTTGAACTTGCCCTGCTTTGAGTAGACGTCCTGCACCATTGACTTCCACTGGAGCTCAGCAGCATGGCCGAAATTCCAATGGTGCACGTAGCCTGTGATCTCATGCGGAAGCAAAACATCCGCCAACAAGGACGAGGAGGACGAAATCTTGCCAGCACTACCACTGCAGCGTCAGCTGGCTTTCACCTTCTTCAAATAGGTCTCAACAGCACTAGCCTCGTCTGGGTCTGGTGGATAATCCTGGTGTTATTTTGTAGGAGGTGTATGATGTGTGTTGCTCTGATACCATTGTTGGATTGTAGGGGAAACAAAGAGATTTTATTAGATTTGAGGAGAATATTACAAGGCTTGTGTAGGCTAATTGGCCTCCTTATAGCTTTTGGCTTATTGGCCATCACACTTGACTTAGATTAGTTTGGGCTATTTGGCCCTACACTTAGATTGGTGAGCTTATTGGCTCCACAACATAGTTTAATTTGGGTAGCTCTTGGCTCCCTTTACAATTTGGGAGTTTGCTTCTTTACTCCCACATGGATTGGGAGTTGATTGGTTCACTCCTCCTTAATGCATATTTGTGTTTCTCCACGCATGCTTTGTATCCTTAGTCATGGAAGAGTCTTGTTCACTTTATGCTCCTCCTGAAGATAGCATTTGATGAAGCTCTAGTTGCTGCTGTTTGGTGCTCGTGTGGCATTTTATTTGTTCGTGCTCTTGTGGCACTTTCTCCATTTGTTGTTAGCTTGATAGTTCTTTGCTGTCAATATTCTTCATTCTTCACAACGGCCAAGTTTTAGTTTCAACATTCAGGCTTCTTTTTCTTTTTTTTTCTTTCTTTTTTTTTTTTTTCTTTTTTTTTTTCTTCTCAATGCCCAATTTTTATTGGATTTATAATTTTCTCTTCTAGAACTTTCTCCAAATTTCCTTTCCCCTCCTTTAGTTTTCTGAGACCTTAAATTTAGTTTTGACTGAAAGGCACTTTCAACTGAATTTTCATTTCGCCTACTCAGTCTTTTCTCATAAGCTTCAAGATTCTTCCACCAACTTGATCTCTTTACTCCATAAGTGTGTGGCTTTCTCTAGATAATTCTCCAATAGTTTAGGCTCATCTCAAAGCTTTTAGATTTTTCCACACATTTCTTTAGCACAAATGTGCATTAATTTCAACACATGTAGCATTAGCAGCTCAAAAGAAATGGAGAATTTATCAGCTAGACGTAAAGTCTGCATTTCTAAACGGAGAGCTCGAAGAAGAAATATATGTGGAGCAACCACAAGGATTTATTGAGCAAGGAGGAGATAGTGAAAATAAAAAAGAGAGAAGACATGAAAGGAAAATCTATCCTCCCTGCGGGGTGTGTAAAAACACAAACCATCTAGAAAAATATTGTTGGTTCCGTGGCAAGCCTAAATGTCGAAATTGTAAAAAATTTGGGCACATAGAAAAAGATTGTCGGACCAAGAACTATCAAGCCAATTACTCAGAAAAAAGTGAGAAGAACAAGCATATGTTTTATGCTCATCAAGCCACACCAGAAGGAACCAACAAGAAATGGTATATTGACAGCGGCTGTAGTAACCACATGACTGGAGATGAAAGCATCTTCTCCAACATAGACAAGTCCGTAAAATCCCACGTAAAACTGGGAAATGGAACACTGGTGGAGACAAAAGGAAAAGGTACAATCTCTATCCAAACTAATAAAGGAACTAAATATATAAAAGATGTTCTACTAGTACCTAGCCTGGAGCATAATCTATTAAGTGTTGGACAAATGATTGAAAATGGATACTCTCTACACTTCTCTGGAGACTCCTGCACAATATTCGATAAAAGAAATAAAAATCACATAATAACAAAAGTAAGGATGGAAAATAGAAATTTTCCTATCCACTGGCAATTTGTAAAAGCCACAGCCATGAAAGCAGAAGTAGAAGATTCATGGTTATGGCATAAAAGATTTGGCCACTTTAATTTTTATGCACTAAAAACTCTTTATCAAAAGAATATGATGAGAGATCTTCCAAACATAAAAAAGATCCATGATGTCTGTGAAAGTTGCCAACTTGGCAAACAACATCGACAAGCATTTCCATCTGGAAAGGCTTGGAGAGCTAAGGCCTTGTTGGAACTTGTTCACACAGACGTTTGTGGACCCATGAGGACTCCATCTCTTGATAATAACAGGTACTTTATCCTGTTCATAAATGACTATACTAGAATGACGTGGGTTTATTTTCTACGAGAAAGATCAGAAGTATTTAATATCTTCAAAAAATTCAAAACCCATGTTGAAAAACAGAGTGGCCACTATATTAAAGTTCTAAGAAGTGATAGAGGAAAAGAAAATACCTCTAAAGAATTCAACAAATTTTGTGAAGATGAAGGAATAGAGCATCAACTAACAGTTGGCTATGCTCCTGAACAAAATGGAGTCTCAGAAAGAAAAAATAGAACTATCATGGAGATGGCAAGATCCATGATATTTGAAAAAGGCTTGCCAAACACATTCTGGGCAGAAGCTGTGTATACAGCAGTATACTTGCTAAATAGATGCCCAACAAAAGCTTTACAAAATAAGACTCCTATTGAGGCTTGGAGCAATATAAACTCAAAGTATTTGGCTATGTGCACATTCCTAAGGAAAAAAGACACAAGCTAGAAGAAAAATCTGAAGTTGGCATATTCCTGGGATACAGTTCCCAATCTAAAGGCTATAGAGTCTATAATCCCATAATTAAAAAGTTCATGATAAGCCGAGATGTTGAGTTCGATGAATCGGCATCATGGAACTGGGAGGAAGAAAAAGTTGAAAAGAAAAGTGTTACTATAACACAATCGTGCAGAGAGGAAATTGAA